GTGCAAAAGACATTCTTCCAACACTCGGTCAATCTGGTGTGTTTTTTCTTTCTGGCCTGTTTTGGTTTCAGCTTTGGTTCACTTTCACTTCTGTTTGTCCAGCAGTGAATGCATTGGGACGTTGATTAAACAGTCCAGCGGGTCCCTGATAAGGTTTTGTTCCTTGTTGGTTCGTTTCGCCGGCTCTGAAGCCTTAAATTTTCCTCGAGTCTTCTCCTGATATGATTATTGATCCTATAAACCTGACTTGATAAGTATTCTCCCCCTTTTTCCTTTTCAGTCGGAGCTGCTGCTTCGGACTCTGAGAATGGGAGGAAGCGCTGCAGTGATTTTATAAAGGTAGGAAGTGTTAGCACAAATTATTCCCCAGAATAAAGTCCTTTGTGTCTTTTGAACCTGTGGCCGCACAGAAGAGTTTATATCCCACCACACAATGCAATGAAGCATTGCAAACGTATCCACACACCACACACACACACACACACGACACACAGTACCCAAGGTAAATCCACCACCTTAATGGTGAATTTAAGGGGAGAATTATTGTCCATTTTACATTAGGGAAGTGAGTATAGGTAGCTATATTCACGCGTTGTTTTTTTAATTGGATATTCATTATTATTAAGGACACTCTGTTTTATTATAGATGGTATGTTATCATTTCGTGCTATCATTCATCAACACATTTAAATTACTACGTTTGCCCAAAAACGACACCTATATAACATTAGACATTATCAAGTTTGCAATAAATAAAATTTAAATGATTGTTACTTATTACCACGCGATACTTAGTCGAGTAATACAGTTCTATTATAAAACTTTAAATATGATTGTGAACTTCTCACTCTACTTTCTATATTTGTATAAAAATGTTATATTTTTAAACTCTGATCTAATTCAATGATGTAATCTTTCTCAATTTTTTAAGTGAGACAATGTGAACTTTTGCTGGAGATGGGCAGCACTGTGGTCAACAAGACAATTATGGTTACAATGTTAAAACCTGGGTTTAGACAGGTGCACAAGAAGGAAAGTCATAAAGTTAGCAAATGTCAGTATTTAAACTACGCTATCTAAGCTTTGCCTACATTAGCCACCATAAGCTGCTCATACCAGGATCATGTGGGGTACGCTGCAAAAACTCTGGGTGGTATTAAAGGGACACTTCACCATTTTCATAAGCTTTGTATTGGTTAGAAAACCCAGGTGCATATTTTTTGAGATGGGTCGTGCCACCTTCCCTCATTTTTCCCCGGAGGGGGGATGGGATGAAATACGGATTTCAGTGTTGCACTTCCCTGCTTCCAGTTGATTGTAAAAATGTCATGTTTGGTATCCTGGACGCAGAGTCTCACTATCGTTTGTTAGGGAGGGGGGCTGAAGTGAGACTACAAACACTCTTTTCTCGGTCAAATAGGCACCAAATTCAAAATTTATGTTACATTTCGACTACATATATAACCCACTTTCAATAAAGATTAATGTTTCCACGGGTGAAATGCTTCTTTAACTGAGTAAGGGTGTGTTTTATTGCCTATAAATCCAACGTTCATTCGTAAGAGGAAAACTGCAGTAGTCTAGGGTTTAAAGCTTATTGATCATGTCTGAGATTTTACATTTAAATGTATTATATGTTTCTATGAAAATACATACTTTGTATGTTTGGCTCTCACCTGGTGAAAATGAGATATGAAACGCCAACACTGAGAAGCATGCTATAAACAAACACAGGACTGGTGGTTGCAAAAAACACAGTATCGCACATGTAATGCAGCAGCAGTAGAAGACAGGACAGAAGGAGCATCAAACAGTGACACAGCGGGGACACAGAGATGGAGATAAACCCCAGTAGGCTTTTGATCAACCACAGGAACATCTGGAGAAGGTGCAGGAGCAACCAAACAGTCCACAACAGCAGACATCCAAACAACCACAACGCTTTGGATGGAAGAAAGATGTCCGCATCCTAAAATACACAGAAAGAGATGTAGAGAGAGTCCTTCTGTCTTGTTTTAGGAAGTTGTGAGTGTTCGACAGAGTGTTTGGGTTTATGTGGACTTACATAGTCTTGTACATCAGTGTCTTCCTTTCCAACTAATCCCACTTGAGCAAGAAAAAGAGAAAAAAACTCATAAGTAGTTATACAATCATCTTAAGTTATTAGTTACATTACAGATTAAGATTTTACATTATAAAAACATAAAATAAATAATTAAAATACATATATGTAGAAAAGGCTTTCTAACCTGTTTGGCTTGTGACCATCTGTTATTATAAGTTCCACCAAAGACCAACCAAGCTCCTCAAATGGTTTAATTTAAATTAATGTCCTAGGCTCTAAAAGCTAAAACTCAAAAAGCCTAAATTAATGAATTGCAGCTATAACAGTTAAATGCTGCATAAGCATTAGTGCACCAGTATTAACAATCTAATAAATATATCTAATAATATATTAGTCTCTGGGCTAATTTTATGCAGAATGAGTACTTTTACTTTTCACAGTTTAAGTAAATTCATCTGATACTTTTACTTTAATAGGATTTGAAATGAATGGCTTTTACTTATGGAGTACGTTTACATTGTTGACTTTATACTTCTACTTCTACCAGCACAGGGGTGTATAACTATTCCTATATTTCTATAATAAAAGACCACTTTCACTTACTTTTTGCATTCCTCTTTTTAATACACACTGAACTCTTCGATAAGTACATTAAGAATGATTTGCTGTGAACTTCTTTCATTCACACATACATGATAAACATCCAATTTAGTCACTTACTGAGGAAAGTCAATGCCAGGAGGAACAATATCACACAGGTCATCCGCAGCCCTTTCCCACTGTGCCTGTTGCTTCTCTGTAGTCCAACCTACAGTGCATTTATACAAAGAGACATGTGAATCACTTTAATGTATATTTTCACACTTATTGTTAAGTATTACCCATGATCCAATAATGATAAAAGATTATATTAATAATTTTGAAAATATACATTGAAGTGATTTACATAGCTTGTGTGTAAGATAATTAAAAGATGAATTAAACACTGTTAGTATAGATGTATAACTCGAGCCTGTGTTCATGTGTATTCATTGATATCTAACTTTTCTACTTGTCTACTTGCTTTGTCACATACTATGAACTAATACTGACGCAAAACTACTAACTTTATTATGCAATGAAACTTTTACAAACAATCTCAAAACTTTAAATTTGCCTTTAATAGATTGGTTTTTAATTTTATTCTTTTATTTTATTTGTATTTTGAAATGTTTATTATTTGTATTATTATTATCAAAATCCTTGTAAAACTGGAGTATATGTATAGTGCATTCATAGTAGCTGTAGTAGTACTAATATTGTAGCCTTTAGCAACTGTAAAATTAGACTGATATTAGTAACAGTACATGTGTTATAACCACAGTAGTTTCAGTAGACTCCTTAGTGGTAACAGTCGCCACCAAAAGGCCTGTTTTGATAATAACATCATTATTGGTTTATAGCCTGTTAGTTGCAACACCACCAGCATAAGACATAATACTGTATTTGGTCTACAAACAGCTGCACAAAGTGACCCCAGTATATTAATAAATACTAATAGTAATAATAGCTTCATCTTCATCTTACCTGTGAAAAATGTAAAAAGAAGTCTCCCTCTGCTGCCTGCTCGCTCTCCCTGCAGATGGTAATGATGTGAGCCAGACGGCGGTAGTGTTTGGACTCAACACAGCTGCTGGGTGATGGACACTGTGGACGGAGATCATCATCATCATCATCAGCATCATTGGAGCCCCTCAGGTCATGGAGACAGCAGGCTGGACGGCGGCTGCACATTGTTACTGCCGTGGACTGCCCAGTAGAGACTGAGCAAGTTTATCCTCTGTGTGCCAACAGGGCTGGGAAAGTGAAAGTGACTGCAGGTTGGCAGAGGCAGAGCTGCACCTCCCAGCTGCTGCTCCAGTGCAAACTCAGAGCTCAACATTAAGTCATTACTTATGAGTGCTTTGATCAAGGAACACATGGAATACAAAACTGGATTTGCAATATGTCTTTTTTTTCTCTTGTATTGTTTGTAATATTATATTTTAAGGGAGGGAAAACAATGATGGTTTTCATCAAATTATCATCTGTGTCCAAAGGTGCAAAAGGTCCAAAAGCCTGTTGACCTGCCAACTTTAAGTGTTTTACAAAATACTTCTCAATAAAAACAGTTGACAGCAAGTTTTTACATGTAAAGTTTAGGTTTAAATGTGTCCTCTCCCTGACCTGTGTTGAGGAATGACTCAGCACATGAAATATATATATATAATATATATATATATTATTATATATAATTAAATACTGTAGCCACATAAAATAAGAAACTGGGTAATTTAACAACTTCAAATGGTTTTGACTGCCTATGTCATTTAAAAAAAAAACATCCATGATTATTTCAGGAGGCTGAAACCTGGGTGAGGATGAAAAACAGCAGGAGAAATGGCTGATAAAGCTTAACCAACACAAGCCAGGGATATATGTTTTCATGGTTTACCTGTTTCAGATGTATTCCCTTTGAAGACACCTGTAGGCCTGGTTCATGTTATATCATGGAACACAGCCTGGTATATCTTTGGTCGGGTTCCTGTTGCTTTTGTTGTCTAGACCAAAAATAAGAGCTCCCTGTTGAGTTGTCTGGCTTTGTCACTATTCTCCTAGCAACAGCTGGTCTCATAATGTCCACTGGAGAATTGGCTGCACCAAACTTATGTCGGAAAACAACTCATTATTGGTAGATTGCTGGATGGTGAGCAGCCAGTTCAAGTTAAATATCTTGTCTTAAGGAGCTGTTTTAATGAGTTGCAGCTTGGAAGTGCAAACTTGCTGATATTATTGCTTGTGACCAAGCAAAGTACTGTCAACTGCTGCCCCCTACTGATGCAAGAGTCTACTACATACTAGTGATGTTCAGCAGGAGAAGAACCGGCGGAACAGATATTAACAACAGCCCTGCTCTATTTAGGGTGTGTGCCAATAAACAGTAAAAAGAGTTTGCCTTCTCATACCATCATACCACCAAACTTTGCCTGTTGTTCTACTTGAGTTTTTCTCCCTCTTTCTTTTTCTCTTTTTTTCTTTTCTCCTTTCATCATAGTTTTTTTCTTACTCACACTGAGAGTCTAAGGTTGTTATGTTATGGTAGGTATCTTGTAACAATTGTAAAGCACTCTTAGAAACATTGGAGGATTTTGGGCTTCAGAGGTAAAACTGATTTGACTTGAGATTTGTCTAAAGAGTTGAAAGCTCTTAACCTCCTAAATATATGGAAGCCCATTAATGCCAGGAGAAGAAAGGAAATTTGATAAGGGATGAAAACAATAATAATAAAAAAAAATGAAATACCAAGTCAATATTTAAAAAAATAAAATGATCACACAATTATAGAATCGTTATATTCTTACCAGGAAGAGAACAATTCTGATAAAGAATGATGAAAATAAAAATAATGCGAAAGTAATTAACGTTGACATTTTGACTCTATAAGTCGAACATGTGTGATACCAAGTCATAGTTCTGAGTCAGAGGTCGTCATGTAAAAAGCTGTTGAACCATGTTTTGCTCTTTGAATTACAAACACACAGATTGCAGATTATAGAACATATATACATAGAAAAACATTCCCAACAGTCTCCCATATGAATAGTTGTAGACAGTATGTGTGCCTATGCCATGTTTGTGGGCGTCTGCATGTGCTTGTAAAACATTTGCCACCACGTGTCTGCTCGCTACATGCCTCCTATAGACTGATGCGACACACTGCTGGCCACAGATTTCTTTCTCAGCGGTGTTCTTTGACCCTGCCAGTCCCTCTGGCATCTCCCGTCTCCTCCTTTAATCCCTCATGCTGGAGGGGAGGACAGGGAGACGCGCACTAAGGAGAGAAAACAGCCACTGTTCTCCATCACAGGGGCCCTAATGATGCTCCCCCTCAACCACTGACTGAGGAGAACATGGCCACAGGGGTGACAGCAATGGGAAACAATATGTTGGACTGATGAAGCTCTGTTAAGCCTCTGAAACAACAGCATGTGCGTGCTCTTTGACTCCACATTATGTAAATAAACCACAAAAGGGCATATGTCATTGAAGTTTTATTTAAACATGTTGGTAACTGTCATGTTGTAATAATCACAATTTCAGTCAATATGAAATCCTGTTTTTGGCACTGAGAGGATGGTGTTCTTTCTTCTGAGGTGTTTTGCAGCCTAGTTCAGCTGTAATGACACGGAGGCCCTAAACAAGAGGACAGATGAGAGAAAACCCTTTGAGAAACACATTAAAGCTGACTCATATCAGATATAAGTGATCATATTTTGACGCGGACTGACCTAAGAGGTCTTGATCATGATTAGCTGGCAGGCCGGGGTAAAAGGTGAGGCTGGAAAAAGAGGTCAGGCAGGGGTCAGACCATCCCCAGGCGTCATTACAGGAACATGGCTGGTCGTAGTAGTCACTGCAGGAGACTTCTCCTTCTGGAAAACAAAATAGCTCCTGTCATAGGTTCACTTTTATCTACCTCAATCCTCCTCACTGCAATCGTCACTTGTTCTAATTAGTAGAATGACAAAATACATGCATGTGTGTGCTCCCAGATGTAAGTATGCATATTTATTTATGCAATCTCCTATTCTAATGGTTGCAGTGATGGAGTGGTGGAGGTGTAAGTGGGCCTGTAATGAGAGGCTGAGGTGAGGGGGAGGCAAGGAGGAGCAGAGAGCCTGCTGGATGAGAGGACAGAAGCCTGGGGCGGTGAGGTGGATCTCCTGCTGTTGAGGTTGTTTCAGCCAGAGTAATATTAACACAGGACCACTGGCTTTACTCATCAGTCTGCTGTGTGGTCTGGTGCCTCAGAGAATCCACTGTAATCTCTGTGTCTGCAAATCTACACATGTTCAATCCAGTCTGGAGTCTTACATTTTGTCTTTAAAACACAGGAATAGAAGTTGCCATTTATTGTTTTTAGCTTGTTTCAGTCATTTTCTTGATATATTTGTTGAGTCAGGCGATTTTCCTCTGAAAGAAAATTCCTGAAAACAATGAAACTGAAAAATGTGGATGTACAATCACTGACTTCATCCATAGCTTTTCTGTTAAATTAAGGAACAATCATCACAGCTAGCCTGTGAAGTCACATTTCTATTAGCCCATAGATTCCCACACCAAGAAAACTCTGTGCACAACTTTACCCATGTTTTCACTGCAGGAACCAGGGACTAGGAACCTTTGGGAAAACTCTGTGTTTCCATTGCAGGGAGCAGTGTCTGAATTAAGTTCTGGGGACATTATTTTACCCTCCAAAATCCCTTTTGGAAAAAATCTTTGTTTAGTTTCAAATATGAAACAGACAGTAGCAGTGAACTTTAGACTAATTAGACTAACAGCCATTAGCATTTTGTAGTATTCCTATAAAAAAGTATAAAGGACATTGATTTCTTCTATCCCAACAGCAGAAACCGTGCACTATGAAGTACTGTATATACTATATCTGTAGTGGGTAATCGAGATAGAGCTTGTGACTGCATTTAATTAATGTAAAGATCTGTTTAATTACAAAGTCAGCTTAATGAAATTCAGCTTATTCGTCATTCATTTTTCATTATTCGCACATGTGCTTTTCCTACTGTGATATGTCAAAATGTAAAAAAAAAAGGCTTATTAAGCAAAAGCAAATATACTCATATACACACACACAAATACACTGATCACATCCACAGGCCACATTACCTTCCTTACGTGTGCTGCTGCATTTCCGGATTCCCAGAATTCCACTGATGGAGTAGGTGGACTCGGAGGAATATGCTGTTTCCATGGCAACACGTGATGCTGATGACACTGCAGGGGGCAGAGGTCAGTGTCAGGAAACAACAGAGAAAGACAGAAAGATCAAGAGAAGAGAAGAAGGGACAGAAAAACCTACCAACGTCACAAGACCCCGACTGGACTTTGTTTCTGATGATCCTGCAGAGACAGAACTCACTCAACACTTTACTACTACTGAATACTTTATTGATCTGTGGAGTCAAGCACACACATACACATGAGACCTATTCATACCTGTTGATTGAGCTGATGCTGGGCACGCTGTCGTGGTCGCACACTCGCTCCAGCAGCAGTCTGTCTCGGATCTCCCAAGCGAACATGGTGGGGTTGGTGTGTTTCAGATGCAGGATCATTTGCACGACTCTGGGAGTGGCCACTTTGGGCTTAGAGCCTCCAATCACTCCCGGTCTGATGCTTCCCGTCTCATTATACCTGAATTCACAATATCTGTCAGGAGGGTTTTAGCATTTTACCTGTGGTAGAAGGTTTGTTAAATATAGATGCTGAAGTGATTTATGTATCTATTTATGTTGGAATAAAAGGAGAAAAAGCACCATCACATAACCGAAGAACAAGAAAACCACATCTTGAGATTAATTTATATTAAAAATAAATGAATTTCAGAATAATGCTTCCTAGGACCACACATCTAAGACCACACATATTTATTAAATTAGATATGTATTAGTACACACATGGATAGAACATGAAAATAAATATAATGCATTATTTACATGAAAGTTGGCAGTTTTTATCTCTATATTATATATGTTATAATTATATCTCTATATTATTATCTATTCCCAAATGACCTATGACCATTTTGAGATGCTGATGGTTCTCATATTTCAACTTTGTAACACTGTAACTTTGTTCTGTAAAAGGCTACTACTAATAAAGTTTATTATCATCATCATCACTGCACCTAACATCTGCTTCATGGCGGATAACTCTGCACTCTGAATGAATAAATCAACAAACAGGCTCATATTCACTTTACCTGGACAGTATTTTGCTGACACAGCCGTGACTCACGCGCAGACGGCGGGAGATCTCGCAGGGACGCACGCCCCGGTGAGCGAGCTCCACGATGCGCTGTCTCACCACGTGCGGTAACGGACGCCCGTTAATGAAGACACCGCCGAGCTGGTTCACCCCGCCAAACCCTGAGCACCGGAGCGGATCAAAGAAGCGCCAATGACAACAAAAAGACATGGACACACACACACACA